AGGAGGAGGAGGGGGAGGAGGAGGAGGAGGGCGAGGAGGAGGAGGTGGTGGATAGGGGAAAAGGGGAGACGGAGGAGACGGACGGGGGCGTAAGAAGAGGAGACGAAGAAAGGGACGCGGAGGACACGACGACGGAGGGTGTTGCCGATGAGGGAGGGGCAAGGCCCGCCCCAGCCCCTCCCTCCCTCCCAACCCCACCGCCGTTGCACGCCAGCCCCCAAGGAGGAAGAAGCTGGGCCCAGGCCGTGAAAGCCACGGCGTCTCGCCCCCCTCCCCCGGCCAAGGCGATGGGGGCCCGTCGGAGGCAAGGCACAGACCCTAGCATCCCTTTCCAAGCGTTGACCATGGAAGAGACGGCGCGGGGAGGGCCGCGCCCGGCCTTGTCGCGTGTCGTGGAGGGCAGGGCGGGGGAGCACGGAGGCGTGACCTCTCGGATCATTGGGGGCGCGGGACAGGAGGCCCTGGGGCTTGCGTCCGGCACGAGGGAGGAGGTGGATGATGAGGAGGGATGGATCCACACAGGGAACCTGACAAGCGTCCGGGCGAAGGGGGTAGAGAGTGTCTTTGGACCGAGGGGGGGCACAGGGCCGACCCAGGACAGAGACGGGGTCATGGAGCCGTCGCTCCCCTTGGTCGCGTGTGTGACGACGGATTTTGCGATGCAGAACGTGATGCTTCAAATGGGGCTCCGCTTGATGTCCTTGGAAGGCGCGGCGGTGACGCGCGTGAAGCAATGGGCGCGTCGGTGCGAGAGTTGCGCCAAACTCGTGCACGACCAGGACCGGATGTTTTGCCCGCGCTGTGGGAATGCTTACCTGTCTCGAGTTTCTATCTCGGTGGACAGTGCCACCGGTCAACTGCGGGTGCATCTCAGCAAGCTGTGGCGGCCGCGGCCAGGCTGCAAATACTCGATTCCCAAACCCGGGAAGGGGAAGGCGAGTCGGTGGGAAGGGGATTTGTTGCTGCGAGAGGACCAACTCCAGATGGGAATCTGGCAGCAGAAGATGAAAAGGCGGACCAAAATGCTGGACAGTATGTTCGGAGCAGACATCACGGAGACCTTGGGGGTGGCGGTAACCAAAAGTACGGCAGCAAACGGTATACAGTTTGGGTATGGGAGAAAGAATCCCAATTCTCAGCGTGGAAGGGAGAGACGAGGGAAGAGAAAGAAGAAAAATTAGATGGAGGAAGTTTTGGAGGAGTGGGAGAATTGTCAAGATGTGAAACAAGACCCTAAAAGCAACTGAGGCTCGATCCGTGATCGCGTTTACTCCCTCGGGAGGTCGAGACGGCGACCAACATGCTACACCTGTGTGAGATGATGCTTCCTTGACGTAATTTTGTTCCAGAAAGCAGGATGACGAAATTATCCCTTTCATGCGCTTTTAGGAGTTACATCAAGCCGGAAACGTGCTTCAGCGCCACACTCAGGAGGTTTAGGTGAGGCATGGCAGCAGAATCTCTCTTCTCCTCCATCAGTGTCAATCATGTGTCCTATACAGAAACATAGAAGACATGGTCAGCAAAGAGACCCAAACCATGCATTAATCAAAATTGGGGGACAATCGGGACGTATATTTTGGTGTTGAGGTTGGAGGAAACAGCGGCTCGGATCGGAGGGACTGTCGCTCGCTCAGCCACTACCACCACTACTTCCTTCTTTTTCCCTGTCGCGTGATGGTCTGGAGACGGCTTCAGTGGGCACGGTGCACCAATCTCTGCCATGGTAGCGGTGCATATTTTCGTATGCGTGGAGGAATTTTGCCCGGAAGATTTTCACAGGCCCGCGCAGCATCCCATGTTGTGTGGATTGCCCACCATAATCTCTCCTTACCTCTGCAGCAGTACGTCCGCAGACAGGCTTCACATATGCCGACATCCCTCTCATGGATGAAACACTCGAACTTTGAACAATTTCAAGCTGGGTTTTTAGCTTTGAACGTGCCTGTTCTGCTGCTTTCGTCGTGCTTCTTTCCATGCTCTGTTAATCCTGCTCCTTCCTCCACATGCCGCATCCGCAGGTTTGCGTTGTAGCCATGGCCCACGACGGAGACGGGGAGAACGGGGGAGTGGAGGAGTTGCCCTTTAATACGCCGTCTGTCTTTTTAAATGAGCATGGGTGGGGCCCCACCCCCGACAACGACCCCGCACAATTTAGGTTCCTGCCTTACTGTCCCTTCAATAAAACGGACCGCTTGGGCAAGGCTGCCGAGCTGACTCAAAGCCTGTATTATTCGCGCCATCGTGACCAACGTCGGTCTCGTTTCGAGGACGCATACCGGGTCTCGAACGAAAGTTTGAAGTACGAGTACGACCAGGCAGAAGACAAGTCGTTTAGGATGGTGGATTCGGAAAAGGGAAAACGCAAGGTCAAGAGCCGCTTTGGCCCTCCCTTCAAACCGGGAGGGTTTGGAGGACGTGGTCGGGGGGGTGCGCGTGGCGGGGCGAGAGACGTGAAGGCATTGGCTGTGCAGAGTGGGGCTGGAGACCGCCGACGTGTCCAAGGGGGAATGGGGCCAGGGGGACGGGGAGGCCGATTGGGCTGGCGGGGGCGTGGCGGAGCCTTTCGAGGACGAAT